ATGTGGATTGCAATGAAAAAGTTTACGTTATCCACTTCCCAAGTAATTTCTGTGTGGAATTATTGTCATTCATCTCAACAAATACATATGCTTTATGAAGAGTTCATTTCTATTGATTATAGAGAGGGAGAGAGAAACTATGTGAGAGAGAATAACAAGGATCGGTCACCTCCTGCATGCATGCTGAGGACTGACCGCACCTTTTGGTGTACGGGATGCTGTTCCAGCCTACTGAGCCACCGACCAGGGCAGGAAGACTTCCTTTATCTGTGCCAAGAGCCACCCGTGGAGTGTGGGCCCAGCTGTGGCCTGTGCCTGTCTGGGACACTGCATGCACAAGCCCAAGTCCCCAAACGCGAGCTCCATGAGGAAGACTCAAATGGTGCTGAAGCTCCCCCTCGCCAGGGAGGGCACCCGCATGGGCCTGCAGGGAGACCCTGAGGGCACCTTCCCGCCAGGATGGGGCTGGAGAGCCAGTGCTCAGAGAAGTGCCCTTGACCGGAATCAAACCCAGGACCCTTGAGTCCACAGGCAGATCCTCTATCCACTGAGCCAAGCTGGCCAGAGCTTGAACCTGAACTTTTAGCCGTGTAAGTGGGGAGTCTACCTCCTCTGAGGCGTCCTCTCCTCCGGACCCGTAACCAGCCTCGACCTGCCCCGGGCTCCGTCTCTGCCAGTCCCTGCAGGCAATGTTAGCCACTCCCAGGAGCACCGGTCACACTGACACGCAGCACCCACTCGCTCTCCGGTGAAAGGTGCTGCTCTAGGTGCATCGGATGTTAAGCAGGTGACCCTCAGCCACGCTGCCAGGTGCCCTGGGTCCCGCTTTGCAGGTGGGAGAACTGAGGCCGGCAGCTGGTCCAGAGCTATGTTCGAACCTGGACGGTTGATCCCGGAGCCACCACATGTTCCACCGCCCCACGGCCCCTCCCCAGCCGCCTCCATCTCCACCACCTAGCAAACATATTTGAAAAATGTGCAATTAGCCGAAACTGGTTTGGCTCAATGGATAGAGCATTGGCTTGGGGACTGAAAGGTCCCGGGTTCGATTCTGGTCAAGGGCATGTACCTTGGTTGCGGGCATATCCCCAGTAGGGGGTGTGCAAGAGGCAGCTGATCGATGACTCTCTCATTGATGTTTCTAACTCGCTATCTCTCTCCCTTCCTCTCTGTACAAAATCAATAAAATATATTTTAAAGAAAAAAAAGAAAAATGTGCAATTAGGCTGCACTGCTTTTCTGAGAAGGAAAATGTGAATTCACCCACACTCTGCTAATGAGGTGGCTCTGTGCAAGAGCCCACACTCTCCTCTCCTCCGGTGTCACTTGCCAGAGCTATGACTGTGACCACCTTAGATTTGAAAGGGGGTGCAGTTTAGCCCTGGCTTAGCCTCACCCTGCTGGGCCCGAGGTTGGCAGTGAGGGCTGGGTCACCATGCGGTGCTTCCACCCTGCCATGCAAAGCCGTCCTGGCACACGGCGGAGAAGATGCTGGAGGCCCGGAGCAGAGAGGAGGGCACACAGGGAGAGGGATGCCCTCAGAGGTGGGAGGTCGGCCTGTGAGCTGTGCAGCGGGGGCAGAACCCACACCTCTCCTCCCTGGCCATGTCCCCTCCCCGCCTCCCCCCACCTCCCCGTGAGGATGAGGTGCGCGTGGAACCAATAGGCACAGGCACTGCCAGCCAACCCCAGGCCAGGAGGCCGTTCTGTGAGCTGCACCTGCTCTCACGTGGGGGTGATGCAGGGGAGCGGCTGATACTCAGGATAAGGGCTGGCAGCCGCACAGGCTCATCTGAGAGGCTGCCCCTGGCGGGGCAGCATGCTGGCGGCAGAGCCCCACGTGCCTGAGGGGCCATGGGAGACCAGGGTGGGGGATGGCGCCCGCTGAGGCAGGAAGAAGCAATAACACAACCCGAGGCAGCTGAGCAGGCGGAGAGTGGCGCCAGGGCTGGGATGTCACAGGAAAGTCACAGACACGGTCATGGACCCAGGCCCACCCCCTGGGGAGACTCACGGACCCAAGTGGAGGGGAAGCCAGCAGGAGCGTGACAAGCTAAGTAAGCTGGAGTGCTGGTGAAGCGGCCACCGTGGAGGCATCACGTGGACGTGTCACAGACCCGGACCAGAGCAGGTCCTTTGAGGACTTTGCCACGCTCACGGCCTGGTGTGCGCCCGTGGATGGGGGCATCGGGCATCCCAAGTTCTCCACTGCAGAAGTCAGACCCAGACATGGCAGAGAACACCCACCTTTGAGGATGGGGGAGAGGGGGTCCTGGCAAAGCTGCTTAGTACAGAGTGAAAAAAAGAGAGAAATAAAATAAGAACCAACTTTGTTTCACTAAAAGCTGCAAGGTCTGAGCCAGAGAGCCAGGGACAGGGGCTCTGTCCGTCAGCATGGAGGGTCTCACCTACTGTTCCCAACCACGCCGCACCTCACGTGCTGCCGGGTGCGAGGGGTCCTGTGTGCACACGTCAGAACGGTTTCCCACGCGGCAGGTCAGGCCTCTCTCTAATGCTGGAATGCTCTTCCCTTCCTTGAGGCGGAACCTGCCTCCCTGGCCCCCAGCCGGGCCTGGCTCAGCCCCAGGGACTGACCTCCCTCCCGCCCTCCCAGCGCGGCCTGGGGAGCTGGCGTTGGGAGCCCCTTTCTGTCTGAGAAGGGGAACCGTGGAGTTGACAAAGACTCCAAAAGCATTATTGTCTGACTTCCTTAAAGCGAAGCCACAGAGCCCACGGTGAGCAGCAAATAAAGGTGTCATTGTGAGAGGAGCAGAGCTAACTGCGCCCAAACCGCCGCCCAGACAAGACTGGACACCGGCTGTGGAGGGAGTGGCGTACTCTCGGCCCAGCGGCCCAGCGAGGCGGATGGAGCCCAGCCACCCTGCCAGCCTCCCGTGCCCAGGGCCCGAGCATCTTCCCCATAGAAACCATGGAAACCACTGCCGGAGCCCAGACCCCGGGGGAGCCAGGACGTCCTGCTCTACCCGACACAAACAGCTCTGCGAGAAAACACCCGAGGTCCCCCTCCCCCTGGACACAAACACCTCTGCGTGGAAACACCGAGATTCCCGCCAGCTCCTCTCAAGCTCCCCCCCCCCCCCCCCCCCGCGGGAGGCCCTAGGCTAGGGGCTCCTCCTTCCCCAGGGCCCAGGAAGTGGGGTCAGGGCCTGCAGGGGCTCTGGGCGAAGGGAGGGAGGCGAGAGGAGGGAGCTCAGGGCGCACAGCGGCTCTGGCTCAGCAGCCACTTCCCCGCTCTCTCGGCGGCACTGAGCCATCGCCCAGTGCCTGCGCCGGTGAAGTCGGCAGAATGTAAGCCATGCGTCCTAGACCGAACGTGCAAATTGAACGAGAGGACCTTTTCTTCTCACGTATGATCGGTAAAGAAACCGAAGAAGGAGAAAGAATAAAAACATGGCAGACTTAGTGAAACCTCTCAGCGGCCTGGCGGGTTCCGGAAAGCAGAGCGTGCTCACGGAACAGCGCCTCCTCCTCCTCGGCCACGAGGGCCCCTAGGGACGAGGGCCCAGGGGCCAGCCCACCCGGTGCAGCACGTCTGACGGGGAAGGGAAGGTAGGACGGGGGTGGAAAGCCCCCACGAAGGGGAACCACTGCCACCAGCCAGGACACCACTTCCTTAGGAAGGACACGGACTAGGAGCAGGGGCTTCCCCCTGGAAGTTCAGCTTTTTAAAGGCAGACAACGGACTTAGCGTAACGCTTCTACGGCACTTGCGTCTACTGTGCGGACGGAAGAAAGCTTCAGAGACAACCAAAGCCTAACCCCTGATTGGACTGAACACAGTGAATGAACGTCTCGAAGGGACGTGTTTCCTGCAGAGATGGGTCTTCACCAGAAGCGAGGCGGGACATGGAGAAGGAGACATGGACACAGCTCCACAACCACTTGCTTTACCCTGGGTTTGGGGACAGGTCCGACGGCTTTTTAAGGAAGTGATTCCCACTCCTGGGTTAGGCCGGATCAAGTGGCCTGGCTGTCACTGCACAGAAAGTGGGTAACACAAACCCCTTTATTGAAGAAATAAATCCCCAAACACGAACTTCTGGCCTGTACAGGCTCAGCTCCAGGTGTGACCTCGCCTGTGGCTGCGGGTGGACGCCCTCACCCTGCTCGGGCTGGCCGTCGGGGCCCCTCCTGGGCAAGCAGCCCGCTCCCAGGCCCAGGGGGAAGGCAGCGGCTACGGGACAGCACGAAGTGCCGAGAAAACAACGCTGGGCTTCTCTCTAGTGACAAGAGGCACCTCAGTCCGCTGCCCCTGCTCAGGCGCTAGGCTGTGGCCGGGACTCAGACCCACAGCTGGCACCCGTGTGAGAAGGAAGTGCTAGCATGTTCTGATAAATCATAAAGCTCACCTCCCAGAGGACAGAGGATGGATTAATTAAGATCCTGTAAAAACCACCAGTGAACATAGAGGCTTTAGAGAGCATCAGAAGAATTAAGCACTCTGGAAGGCATGCTCCCAGCCACCTTGGTGTTGAAAAGGAACCGAGTGAGCAGGGAAGTCAGAGGCCTCGGCCGCCCCTTTGGGCCATCCTATCCAGGACCCCACGTGCACAATGACTCCAGACAGAGCCTCGGTCCCTCCCCCACTCTGACCGCCTGGGACCCTCGCCTGGCAGAGGGAACGTTAGCAGCGGAGAGCGCCCTGAGTTTCCAGAGCGGCCCAGTCCGCAGAGCTCCGAGCAGGCCCGGGCGCCGAGCGGGCCCTCCCAGCGCAGGCTCGGGCTTGTCAGCCAGGGTGTGGGCTCGCCACCCGCTGCCTTCGCTGAAATTCAGGTTCACCGTGCGTCTGCGGGTTCGGAACGGCTTCCGGAGCATGTCGCGGGCACCGGAGCGAGGGGAAGGCCCCCACCAGCCTTACACCAGCCCCCCGTGGAAATGGCAAAGAAAACACCTAGTGTGGGTGAGTTAATGGCAAATACACTCCCACAATTTGAAAACGTCATTAAAAATAATAAAATAGACATCAGAAAGTGACTTACCGCCGTCAGACACAGTTGCAGACTGAAAGAAAAGAGAGAGAGACATGAGTTAATTGGGCCTCATGGCAAAGCGGAGACAGCAGCCCTCCGAGGAACACGGCCGTGGCTCCGCCGCTCGCTCCCCGCAGGTGCCCAGCTAACCAGACACCTCGGTGAGTCAAGTGCGCGCCACTTCCTGAGCGGACTCCGCCCAGCCGTGGGTGAGCCGGCCGCACCAGGCCGGGCGGGCGGAAGTCCCCGTCACTTCATTGGGAAAGAACAGATCCCAGCATGTCGGCCTCAGCCTCAGCGAGAGCCTCGGGGAGAGCTTGCTACATGGTAACCTGACCAGTGAGGCTGCAGCGGGGCACGATTTCAAGGGGGTAGGTGACCTGCCACCCATCCCTTCAGTGCCTCTGGCGTGCAAGTGGCTGTGCCCAATGTGCCAGCGCTGCCCTGGGCACAACACACCCCACTCGGTACCTGGTACCCCTCCCACTGCCCAGGGCAGACCCGGACGGCACACCACAGGCGAGGCCGGGCCACCTCAGGGCGCAGCCACGCCAGGTGTGGGAGGAGGGGCGCAGCAGGCAGCGGGGCAGGTTTCCAAGGAGGGCCCCGGCAGAGGGCAAGGCTGGAGGAGAGGAGGTTGGCCCCCACGGGGACAGGGCCACGTGCTGCAGCCGGACTGGAAGGAGGCGGCGGTGGAGGGAGGCCTGGAATGACAGACACTCAACAACAAACGCGGCGTTGTCTGGCCGGCGGCAGAGGCTGAGGGCCATGGGAATGCGCTCGCAGCGGACAGCTCGGGGCTGCCTCGTGGGAAGGTCGTTTCCACTTGGACGTGTGGAGGGAGGAGAATCGGGGAGGTGGGGAAGGGTGGGAGCCGGTGGGGCGCTTGGAGGGGAGCAGGCTCAGTGCAGGGTGACTTGCTCCCTGTTGAGATGTCCCAGCCCCAGCACAGCCACAGCAGGGACAGCGCACAGGCCCAGCCCCAGCCCCAGCCCCAAGCAGCGGCCCCTCCTGTCGCACTGCAGTCAGGGGGTGGGTGCACGGAAGCCTCCCGGCTCGAAAAGGGGAGTAGACCCCCTTCTCAGTGGCTGCAGACCCAGGCTCCAGCCTGGAAATGGGTCCCCCGTCTGCAGAGGGAGGGAGTCGGGAGGCAGGGTGTGGGCAGGCTTTGCCGAAGACGCGGTCACAGAGGATACAGAGAGAAGAGCGTCCAGACTTGTGCCTTGGAGGCCTCACACCACACCCTTCCCAGATCCTGTGCCCCCAACAAGCGGAAGTCATGTGTAAGACCCCCCAGGCCCAAATGCCAACAAGCGCAGCCCAGAGGTGCCGGGGTCGCCCGGCTCCCATGAAGGCCCATTACGACGGGGGCACTCCCCGGCCTGCCCGAGTGTCTGAGGGTGAAACAGCTCTGTCAGCTGGCACTCTGTGCTTCTGCCTGCTGGTCCGTGCCCAATGGATGCCCCCGAACCTCGCCCTCAGCTTGCACGGAAGAGGGACGGGGCCTCTCCCATGCTGAGCAGCCCGTCGCAGCCCCTCACTGCGGGACCTGCACCTGCAGCCCAGGAGCCAGCTAAGTGACCCCTCCACCCAGGAGGGGCCTGCCACTCTTCAAACCGTCCTGAGTCCTGGGTCAGAATCTCCGAAATTGCCGCTAGCACCTTACCCGTGACTTCCCGGGTGAAACATGGCGGCTGTGCGTCCGGTTTTTAACTGTCATCTTGCCGCCCGCCCCTGGCTACCGGCCTCCATCGCAGAAGCAGGCAGGTCTCCTTCCCGGGGACAGAGGCCATGACACTGTCCCTCTCCCATACTCACCACCGCTCACCCAGCCCAGCTGAAGGTCAGAGACCAGGAGAGGGAAGTCTGCGAGCTCACACCACAAACGGCGTGTCCGGCAGCAGCCTCTGAGAAACCAGTCATCAGGTGCAGCCGCAGGAACGCGAGGCCGGGCCACCTCAGGGCGCAGGCAATGCCCGGGCTGGGGCAGACCAGACAGGCACTGCAAACCCTCCACACGGGCCCCAGGGCCCTGAGATGAGGTGGAGGGTGGTGGGGTTCGCTGCAGCCAGAGACAAAAAAGGTGACGGCTGAGTGGATGCCTGAGGGGCAGGGAGGGGGGCCATGTGGACGCGGCGAGCAGGGGCCGTGGAGGGCTCAGGGGGAGGCTGCGCTCCAGCCTGTGGGCCTTCGGTGCCAAGCACGCGGACCCAGGGCAAGGGCCACAGATGTGCTGCTGGCAGTGCGCGGGGCTTTAGAATTGTGGAAAACTGACAGCACAGGGACAACAGGCTTTTTAATGAAGTGCTGCTCCCCAAGAAGCGGGGAGTCCCTGGGATGGAGAGTGGTCAGCGAAAGCCACCACTGCCGGGGCCAGCTGGGGTCACGCAGAGCGGGCCACTCAGATGCAGGCAGGCGGCCACACACAGGCCCGGGGAGAAAGCAGCCGCGCGAATATGAGCTCACAGTTCAAAAATCCCTAAAACCAAGAAAAGCCCTCCATGAGAAAGAGCCAGCAGAGTGGACAACAATGGATGAGACACTGGGGAGTCCGCCTAACCTGGATGTCAGAGAACTAGGAGTGAGAGAAGGAGAACTGCACAATGAGGAGGAGTGGCAGTTTGAAGCTCACCCCGTAGGATGGATGCCTGACAAGGAAAGCTACAACCGCTGGAATTAAACGCTCAGCAGAGAGGCTGCGGACATTGGAAGGCGAGAGAGCTGTGGGAACTGGGAGGCAGACTCAGGAAGAACGAGGCAGAGACGAGAACAGGGGTGCACAGCGCGGGTGGCGAGCACATGGGAAGCCCTGAAGGCGCTCACCCTACGCCGTCCCAGCAGGCGCTGCTCAAGGTGCCCACCAGGAAGGTGCCAGGTTCTAGAGGCCTTGGGGTCAGCACCGTCCAGGAAGGACTCAAAATCCCAAGACACAGCCTCACTCTACCTCCTTCCCTTCCCCGGGTCTGGATCGCTGTGCCAAGAGCATTCCCAAGACCAGACTCTAGAAAGTTCTAGGCATCTGGGTGGCCTCTGTGTATGGAGGGTTCTCCTGGAGGGCCAATGAGGACTCAGAGGTCATGGATGTCCCCTGCCCACCCCACATCTGCTTGTAACTGCAGAACCAGCTCAGACCGGTCCTGTCCAATTCCCACGAGGCCCAGAATCGCAGTTCCAACCTGGGACGCACGCTCACGAGGGACACCTGTGCTCCCTTCGCGGTGCCACCGTGGAACCAGAGGGGGGGACTGGTCACGGCCTCTCAGCATCAAGGGCCCGCTGTCCAGGACTGTGCGATGCTGAAGCCCCAGGCCCCGCAGGGTTGAGCCCGTCCCCCTGTTTGGGCTGATCTGCTCACAAACTAAAGCTTTTTGCTTTTCCAAAAGCTGGCATCGTGTTAGCTGCCATGCGCACCAGGCAGCGAGCTCCGTCCAGAAAGCCTGGATGAAAGGTAAGTTCACCTGGGATTGCTCCTAACACAGGCCGGGTGAAGAGTGCCACCGGGACCAGCCCAGCCAGCCCTTTACTCAGGTCTCCCCTCCTGTCACAGCCCAACCAGACGTGACCCTAAAGGAGAGCCCGGGGACAGTTACTGCCACCGGACACAAACCACCGTCCTCCTTCCAGGCCACGTGAGAGAGACGGGCTTCTTCACCTGCACACGACTAAGTTACCACAGCCCCCTCCGCTGCCAACACGTGCGGATGCGCAGGCGCACCTGGGGCGTGGCAGAGCCCGGCCCAGCTCCTGCGCGGGAGCACCAGGTGAGGAGCGCGTGGCCGGGCTCGGCAGGCATACAGGGGTGGAGCAGGCAGTGCCATGGGGAAGGGCTGGCAGGGGAGAGGAGGGCGGGAGTGCCCTATGGGGAGTGAGGGACACAGCGTGCTGTCCTGGTGGCCATTGCTTGGTGTGGGGTGGAGGTGCAGGCAGACAACCCACAACCTGGGGTGTGTGGGAAAGGCAGCTGACCCAAATCATGTCATTCTGCCTTGGGACGGACCGCAGGCCCAACTCTGACCAGCTGCCCTCGGAAGCCTGGTTTGCATGCCGTGAGCACATCCTAGCTGACCGGCGATGCAGTTCACAACGGAAGCTGCGAGATCACTCCAGAACGGCCACGGAGGCACTGCACCGAGCTCCGGTGACTCTGAAAGTTCGGTGCTGCCAGGCCCTTGGCCTCAGCTAGGCCGCAGGAACATTTTTATGAAGTCAGACCCAACATTCCTCTCGTTTACTGGTACCGGTACCATGTGCTTTACTAACGTTTGCATTTTCTGCACGTTCTGGGTTCCTCCTAAATCCATGCGCTACACTTACAAGAGCACAGCCACAAAGCAGCTGCCAGGGCGAAGGTCCCGGTGAGCCGGCAGGGTCTTCCCTGCTGGCGTGTTAAACAGACACAGAAGGAGGCAGCTTCTCAAGGTCGAAGCGACGCCTCAGGCTGGACGCCGCCCTGGTGCAGACACCCGGAGCTAAAGGGCTCGTGTGCGTCTGCAGAGGGACTTACTGCAGGCTCGAGGGCCGGCGGCTGCGGACCCCGCAGTCCAGTGGGAGCTGACCGGGGTTTATTCTTGGCAGGAATTCCGCCCACACACGTTCGGTGGAAGTTTTATTTTGAGTTAATGTTTAGAAAGTTGAGATGACTTATATGAAAAGTGGTATATGATGAATCCAGCCTTTAGGAAGGCTGATTCTGTTAGTAACACCAGACAGTGGCGATTAGGAGAATGCATCATTTCCACATTCCTTTGGTATGCAGTAATACACAGTCATTTAAGTTTTCAATTTTGAGGCACTGGCAAATTTCCTACCTGGGACATAAAAAACATCAAATAACCACATAGGACTCTTGAATAGGAACCAGAGGCCTGCAAGTTGCCCAAACATATCCAATGTTTTTTTTTTGTTTATTTGTTTGTTTTAATATATTTCATTGATTTTTTTACAGAGAAGAAGGGAGAGAGATAGAGCTAGAAACGTCGATGAGAGAGAAACATCGACCAGTTGCCTCTTGTACACCCCCTACCGGGGATG